GGAGTATCAGGCTCTATGCACATTACACACATAGGCAGAGAGGAGGGGGAGTATCGGGCTCTATGTATATTAGACACATAGGCAGAGAGGAGGGGGAGTATCGGGCTCTATGTATATTAGACACATAGGCAGAGAGGAGGGGGAGTATCAGGCTCTATGTATATTAGACACATAGGCAGAGAGGAGGGGGAGTATCGGGCTCTATGCACATTAGACACATAGGCAGAGAGGAGGGGGAGTATCAGGCTCTATGCACATTAGACACATAGGCAGCTCTATGCAGAGGCGGGGGGGGGTATTGGGCTCTATGCACATTAGACACATAGGCAGAGAGGAGGGGGAGTATCAGGCTCTATGCACATTAGACACATAGGCAGAGAGGAGGGGGAGTATCGGGCTCTATGCACATTAGACACATAGGCAGAGAGGAGGGGGAGTATCAGGCTCTATGCACATTAGACACATAGGCAGAGAGGAGGGGGAGTATTGGGCTCTATGCACATTAGACACATAGGCAGAGAGGAGGGGGAGTATCAGGCTCTATGCACATTAGACACATAGGCAGAGAGGAGGGGGAGTATCAGGCTCTATGCACATTAGACACATACGATTGTTGTTTTATATCGCCCTCCTTCAGGAGACAACTCCTTCTATGATAAATTCAAAGAAATGCTTAAAGAATGCAATTTTGACAAAGAAGTGTTAATAATGGGGGATTTCAATGTTAATTGGGCTGATAAAACTACAAGGAAAAAGTTGAAACAAATCACTGATAAATTTGATCTAACCCAAATAGTTTGTGGCCCAACAAGAATAACAAACTCTACAAATACTCAGATTGACCTCATATTCTCAAACAGGCCAGAAAGAATCACAAAATCATTTCATATGTTCACATGGCTGTCTGATCACAATCTCACCCTTACATCCAGGAAACTGACATGAAGCCGCTTCCGATCTTCTCCCTCGTCCACTGTCATCACTGATATCCCCAAAAAAAATTATGAAAGCTTTCTTTCTGCAGCTCAACAAATAAATTGGGATCTATAATTGAACGATAATGATGTTAATACTGCCACAGACTCCTTCCAGAAAACAGTTGTGGACTACACACGGAAAATTAAGCTCAAACCGCATAAAAATACAGTTCCTTGGATCAACACGGACATAATACAACTCATGAAAGAGCGAGACAAGGCTTTAAAAAAAGCTTTGAAATCTAAATCCACCCATGATCGTGGTCTATTTGCTGTGTTCTGAAATAAGGTAGTTAGGTCCATCAGGAAAGCTAAAGCTGATTTTTTCCTTACCATAATAGAAGGGGCAAATGGTCACTCCAAAGCTATACGGGATCAATTGAAGAAAATTACAGGACATCAAGCCAAAGAGAACAACTAATTGGAAATCAAAATTAATGGCAGTCTCTCAAGCGAGCCCTCCGCTGTGGCTGAAGCATTCAACCTTTATTCTGTTGACTCGGTTGCTAATATAGCGCAAGGTTTTGTTCAATCCTCTCAGTCACCTACAGCCAATACAGACCCACCTGTTCTCAGCCTGACATCCATCTCAGAGACAGATGTTACACGGACCATCAAATCACTCAGACCATCCAGATGCAAAGACATATTGGGCATGAACGCAGTCATATTAAAGGACATCTCCACTTCTCTCACAACCCCCATCACCAAACTCATTAATATGTCTTTCTCTGAGAATCTGTTTCCTTGTATCTGGAAATCTTCTATCATCATTCCTATTTACAAAAGCGGTGACCCTCGATCCATGGACAATTACAGACCCACCAGCATCCTACCTTCAGTCTCTAAAATAGCAGAAACATTAGTTGCAGAACAAATATCCCTACACCTTAACACCACACCCTACAGTCTCCACCCAATGCAGTTTGGCTTCAGAACCCACCATTCCACCGAAACAGCCACCTGCTCCTTCACAGAGAACATCAGAGCACTGCTGGACAGGGGAGGGGTGGTGGGTGCTGTTTTCTTAGACCTCAAAAAAGCATTCGATACAGTTAACCACAAAATCCTTCTGGCAAAATTACACTCATTCCACTTCTCTCCCTCGCTCATAAAATGGATTGAATCATATCGCTCGCAACAGGTCCGTATCCAGTCTCACCAGTCTTCACCTCTCGGTCTCTCCACCGGTCTTCATCTCTCGGTCTTCATCTCTCGGTCTTCATCTCTCAGCCTCTCCACTGGTCTTCATCTATCAGTCTTTCCACTGGTCTTCATCTCTCAGTCTTTCCACCGGTCTTCATCTCTCGGTCTCTCCACCGGTCTTCATCTCTCGGTCTCTCCACCGGTCTTCATCTCTCGGTCTTCATCTCTCGGTCTTCATCTCTCGGTCTTCATCTCATCGGTCTTCATCTCTCGGCCTCTCCACCGGTCTTCATCTCTCAGTCTTCATCTCTCGGTCTTCATCTCACCGGTCTTCATCTCTCGACCTCTCCACCGGTCTTCATCTCTCGGTCTTCATCTCACCGCTCTTCATCTCTCGGCCTTTCCACCGGTCTTCATCTCTCGGTCTTCATCTCTCGGTCTTCATCTCTCGGTCTTCATCTCTCGGTCTTCATCTCTCGGTCTTCATCTCTCGGTCTTCATCTCTCGGCCTTTCCACCGGTCTTCATCTCTCGGTCTTCATCTCTCGGCCTCTCCACCAGCCTTCACCTCTCGGTCTCTCCACTGGTCTTCATCTCTCAGTCTTTCCACTGGTCTTCATCTCTCGGTCTCTCCACCGGTCTTCATCTCTCGGTCTTCATCTCTCGGTCTTCATCTCTCGGTCTTCATCTCATCGGTCTTCATCTCTCGGCCTCTCCACCGGTCTTCATCTCTCGGTCTTCATCTCTCGGTCTTCATCTCTCGGTCTTCATCTCTCGGTCTTCATCTCACCGGTCTTCATCTCTCGGCCTCTCCACCGGTCTTCATCTCTCGGTCTTCATCTCACCGGTCTTCATCTCTCGGCCTTTCCACCGGTCTTCATCTCTCGGTCTTCATCTCTCGGTCTTCATCTCACCGGTCTTCATCTCTCGGCCTCTCCACCGGTCTTCATCTCTCGGTCTTCATCTCACCGGTCTTCATCTCTCGGCCTCTCCACCGGTCTTCATCTCTCGGTCTTCATCTCACCGGTCTTCATCTCTCGGTCTCTCTCTCTCATCTCTCGGTCTTCATCTCTCGGTCTTCATCTCACCGCTCTTCATCTCTCGGCCTCTCCACCGGTCTTCATCTCTCGGTCTTCATCTCTCGGTCTTCATCTCTCGGTCTTCATCTCTCGGTCTTCATCTCTCGGTCTTCATCTCACCGGTCTTCATCTCTCGGCCTCTCCACCGGTCTTCATCTCTCGGCCTCTCCACCGGTCTTCCTCAAGGGTCCACACTAGCTCCTCTACTTTTCTCCCTCTACATTAACAACCTCCCCTCTGCAACATTCCCATACTCATGTACGCAGACGACACAGTAATATTCACACATGGCAATAACACTTCACAGGTTGCTGAAAAACTCACTAACTCCGTGGCTCACATTTCATCCTGTCTCAAACTTAATACATCCAAAACAGTTGCAATGTTCTTCTCCAAATCTTACAAGTCTCTCCCATGCACAGATCCAGATGTTTTAGTTTCAGGCAACAGGCTACAGATCGTCACAGAATACAAACACCTTGGAATAATAATTGACTCACACCTTTCATTCAAAGCTCACATTAAAAAAACATGCAATAAAATTAAATACAACCTCTGCAACTTCAAACACATCCGCCACCAAATGTCTACTCCAGCAGCCAAAATGTTTATGCATTCCATGATTCTGTCCCACATCACACACTGTCTCCCCCTGGTCCGGGGCAAACACCACAGCCCTGATACCCCTGCACTCACTCTTCAAACGGACGCTAAAAACCCTGGACAAGAAACCCCATCACTCTCACCACTGTCCCACAAACACAAACTTCTCACTCTCAATAACATGGTCAAGTTCTCCAATCAGTCAGTTCATCAATACCAGAAACAGCACCCACACCAGGACCAGGGGGGCAGCGAGAGGGGACTGTATCACCCCCCACAGGAAAAGCACATTTGGTCAATCTTCATTCTCTGTCCGTGCCACCTCAGATTGGAACCTCCGACCCACAACTATCAGAAATGCACCCTCTTACCTCACGTACAAAACACAGTTAAAACACTGGCTCATTGATAATCACACCTGTCAGCACTGACTCCGCCTGCTCTCGCTGCCCCCTGCTGGCCGCCTGCTCTGTGTGCGTCTGTGTGTGTTCTGTGTCTGTCTCCATGTGATTGTGTATTGTTGTTTGTTGAACGATGTGTGACTGAATGTTTTACTGTCTTGTCCTTGTAAATATTGTAAATATCTCACATTATTTTAACTGTGTAGCAAACATGTTTTTATCTTTTCAGGAGACATGGGACGACAGATGAAAAATAGCCGTTTGGCTAATTCTGGCATATTTACAGAAATTTTCATTAATATGCACTCTCCCAAAAATATAGGCAGAGAGGAGGGGGAGTATCAGGCTCTATGCACATTAGACACATAGGCAAAGAGGAGGGGGAGTATCAGGCTCTATGCACATTAGACACATAGGCAGAGAGGAGGGGGAGTATCGGGCTCTATGCACATTAGACACATAGGCAGAGAGGAGGGGGAGTATCGGGCTCTATGCACATTAGACACATAGGCAGAGAGGAGGGGAGTATCGGGCTCTATGCACATTACACACATAGGCAGAGAGGAGGGGGAGTATCGGGCTCTATGCACATTAGACACATAGGCAGAGAGGAGGGGGAGTATCGGGCTCTATGCACATTAGACACATAGGCAGAGAGGAGGGGGAGTATCGGGCTCTATGCACATTAGACACATAGGCAGAGAGGAGGGGGAGTATCGGGCTCTATGCACATTAGACACATAGGCAGAGAGGAGGGGGAGTATCGGGCTCTATGTATATTAGACACTTCACTGATCAGCACTGATACAAATGCCACCGACTCATATCCATGAGGACCTTCAAGGGGACGCCAGCGTTCATACCAAGACACCATTGTTTTTACTGTCCACATTGTCTGGACTATAAGCTGCACCAGCAACGGATTAAAATAAAATCAGCTTGACCAGTTGCAGGCCTCAGCAGCTTCACGTTAGCTTCTCTTCAACACAAATACACACATTAGCTACATCACTGTAACATTGCCTCTAAAAACCATTAGACAGACACACACACACACAGACATACACACACACACACACAGACATACACAGACATACACACACATACACACACACAGACATACACACACATACACACACACACACAGACATACACACACACACACACAGACATACACAGACATACACACACATACACACACACACACACACACAGACATACACACACATACACACACACACACAGACACACACAGACATACACACACACACACACAGACATACACAGACATACACACACATACACACACACACACAGACATACACAGACACACACACACACACACATACACACGCTGTAAAGTGCCAAACTGTGGTTGTGTCCTTGGGCAAGACACTTCCCCCACATTAGAATGAGTCTGGTGTGTGTGTGAATGGTTGGTGGTGGGAGGGGCTTCTGTCAGTCTGCCCCAGGGCAGCTGTGGCTGCAGTGGTAGTTTATAGTTAAGTGGGGGAGGTTCCAGTCCATAATGTGCTTTATTTATTGAGATATTTGACATGATATAGAATGATATAAATGAAATGTTAAAGATGAAGATCGGTGAAATCCAGGTGTTCTCCTGAATGTTTATGGTTCCACTTCCCACTGACCGTGTGACATCACACCAGGATAATCCAGTTATCTGTTGCTTAGCAACCGCTCCGCGCACCGGCACAAGGAAACACCACGATCGTCATCGGACTGTTTTACACACGCTTTTCTCACACAAACTGTCTCTGTCTCTCTGTGTCTGTGTCTGTCTCTGTGTCTCTCTGTGTGTCTCTGTGTGTCTCTGTCTCTGTCTCTGTGTCCACCTGTCTCTGTGTCCACCTGTCTCTGTGTCTCTGTCTCTGTGTCTCTGTCTCTGTGTCTCTGTCTCTGTGTCCACCTGTCTCTGTGTCTCTGTCTCTGTGTCTCTGTCTCTGTGTCTCTGTCTCTGTGTCCACCTGTCTCTGTGTCTCTGTCTCTGTCTCTGTGTCTCTGTCTCTGTGTCTCTGTCTCTGTGTCCACCTGTCTCTGTGTCTCTGTCTCTGTGTCTCTGTCTCTGTGTCTCTGTCTCTGTGTCCACCTGTCTCTGTGTCTGTCTCTGTGTCTCTGTCTCTGTGTCCACCTGTCTCTGTGTCCACCTGTCTCTGTGTCTCTGTCTCTGTGTCCACCTGTCTCTGTGTCCACCTGTCTCTGTGTCTCTGTCTCTGTGTCTCTGTCTCTGTGTCCACCTGTACTAATGCAGCTTCAGTGTAACTTCAGTCTGGTAGACTAACATCACACTAGGCCCCTCCCCCTCAGCCTCACATCTCTCCTGCAGCCGCCAATCAAAACCATTGTTTAAAATCAGGACCTCTCAAGTCACTGAAGGATCATCGTCAAACCCAACAACAGAGATGAGACACACATCTGCTTTAGTCCTGCCAGCAAGAAACCAGCAAGAAACCAGCGAGAGACCAGCAAGAAACCAGCGAGAAACCAGCAAGAAACCAGCGAGAGACCAGCAAGAAACCAGCGAGAAACCAGAGAGAGACCAGAGAGAGACCAGAGAGAGACCAGAGAGAGAGACCAGAGAGAGACCAGACCAGAGAGAGACCAGAGAGAGACCAGAGAGAGAGACCAGAGAGAGACCAGAGAGAGACCAGAGAGAGAGACCAGAGAGAGACCAGAGAGAGACCAGAGAGAGACCAGAGAGAGACCAGAGAGAGAGACCAGAGAGAGACCAGAGAGAGACCAGAGAGAGATCAGAGAGAGACCAGAGAGAGAGACCAGAGAGAGACCAGAGAGAGACCAGAGAGAGATCAGAGAGAGACCAGAGAGAGAGACCAGAGAGAGACCAGAGAGAGACCAGAGAGAGACCAGAGAGAGAGATCAGAGAGAGACCAGAGAGAGAGACCAGAGAGAGACCAGAGAGAGACCAGAGAGAGATCAGAGAGAGACCAGAGAGAGAGAAAAAAGAGAGACCAGAGACACCCCCTGACACACCCCCCTGACACCCCCCCCTGACACACCCCCCTGACACACCCCCTGACACCCCCCCCTGACACACCCCCTGACACACCCCCTGACACACCCCCCTGACACACCCCCCTGACACACCCCCTGACACCCCCCCCTGACACACCCCCCTGACACACCCCCTGACACCCCCCCTGACACACCCCCTGACACCCCCCCCTGACACACCCCCTGACACACCCCCTGACACACCCCCCTGACACACCCCCTGACACACCCCCTGACACCCCCCCCTGACACACCCCCCTGACACCCCCCCCTGACACACCCCCTGACACACCCCCTGACACACCCCCCTGACACACCCCCCTGACACACCCCCTGACACCCCCCCCTGACACACCCCCTGACACACCCCCACCCCCCCTGACACACCCCCCTGACACACCCCTGACACACCCCTGACACACCCCCTGACACACCCCCCTGACACACCCCCTGACACACCCCCTGACACACCCCCTGACACACCCCCTGACACACCCCCCTGACACACCCCCTGACACACCCCTGACACACCCCCTGACACACCCCCTGACACACCCCCCTGACACACCCCCCTGACACACCCCCTGACACACCCCCTGACACACCCCCTGACACACCCCCTGACACACCCCCTGACACACCCCCCTGACACACCCCCTGACACCCCCCCTGACACACCCCCTGACACACCCCTGACACACCCCCTGACACACCCCCTGACACACCCCCCCTGACACACCCCCCTGACACACCCCCCTGACACACCCCCTGACACACCCCCTGACACACCCCCTGACACACCCCCTGACACACCCCCTGACACACCCCCTGACACACCCCCTGACACACCCCCTGACACACCCCCTGACACACCCCTGACACACCCCCTGACACACCCCCTGACACACTGACACCCCCCCTGACACACCCCCTGACACCCCCCTGACACACCCCCTGACACACCCCCTGACACACCCCCTGACACACCCCCTGACACACCCCCTGACACACCCCCTGACACCCCCCCTGACACACCTCCTGACACACCCCCTGACACACCCCCTGACACACCCCCTGACACACCTCCGACACACCCCCTGACACACCCCCCTTTCACCCCCCCACAGACAGTTCACAGATGGACGAGGCTAACATACTAGCTCAGGGAAGTCCGGCAGGGAAGTGCTCATGGATGAAGTTTGGCTCCTCTCTCTCGCTCATAGTGACTTTCATGTAAAAGTAAACTCCTCTGTCTCAGTAACGTGTGACATCACCATTTTGGGCTAAAATCTGTGGTTTCTCTGTGTCTTGTGTTTATATGTGATGGTGTCTAAAGACAGATGTGACCATATAAGGACTGACCAATCAGAGGCCTTCATTCAGGAGAAGGGGCTCTAGCTTGTCTCAGGTATCGTCTTAGCAACCGTCTTAGCAACCGTCTTAGCAACTGTCTTCGCAACCATGTACAACGGTTACGGCTCAAAGCTAACGCCATCAGAACAAATGCCCATATAAGGAAACTGGCTCCAGCTAGCTTGTTTTCAAATTCGCCTCTTCTGCTGTGAGGCTAACATGGTGATGTCACACTCTGGTGATGTCACACTCTGGTGATGTCACACTCTGGTGATGTCACACTCTGGTGATGTCACACTCTGGTGATGTCACACTCTGTCAGTCTGTGTTTTCTAGTAGTGCATATAGATAGATACTTTATAGATACTTTATAGATAGATACTTTATAGATAGATACTTTATAGATACTTTATAGATAGATACTTTATAGATACTTTATAGATAGATACTTTATAGATACTTTATAGATAGATACTTTATAGATACTTTATAGATAGATACTTTATAGATAGATACTTTATAGATAGATACTTTATAGATCCACCAAAGGAGAAATCCAAGAGTCCCGCAGCAGAAGTACATCATACATTTTAACATAAATATACAAATATAAATATATAGTAAATATAAACACAGAGTAATGGTATTTATTATAGTAATAAAGTGTCAGACTCAGACGTGATGACAGCGTTTTCTCTGATAAATGTATAAATATATAAATATATAAATGTATAAATACATAAATGTATAAATGTATAAATGTATAAATATATAAATATATAAATGTATAAATGTATAAATATATAAATGTATAAATGTATAAATATATAAATGTATAAATGTATAAATATATAAATATATAAATGTATAAATATATAAATGTATAAATATATAAATGTATAAATATATAAATATATAAATGTATAAATATATAAATGTATAAATATATAAATATATAAATATATAAATGTATAAATATATAAATGTATAAATATATAAATATATAAATGTATAAATATATAAATGTATAAATACATAAATGTATAAATGTATAAATGTATAGTCATGATAGTGATATCTGTCACGTCCTAAGTTAATGATCTCAGTCTCAGAGACTGAAGGGTAAGTTCTGATCTGAGATATTTAAGAAACACAGAGAAAGTCCTTTGTTAAGTTTTAGGACAGACTTTGAGCCAAACACACTTTATCTTTAAAACACTGACCTGAAGCTGTGTTTGTGTCTGAGGAGGTGCACGAAGCTTCAGCTGAGTCTGCTCCGCAAAGACACTCACATGTGGGATTCTGGAAGGTCCGAGAGGTGTCCTGCTCCAGTCCTGCCCCAGTCCTGCTCCAGTCCTGCCCCAGTCCTGCCCCAGTCCTGGTCCAGTCCTGCCCCAGTCCTGCTCCAGTCCTGGTTCAGTCCTGGCTCAGTCCTGCTCCAGTCCTGGTTCAGTCCTGGCTCAGTCCTGCTCCAGTCCTGGTTCAGTCCTGTCTCAGTTCTGGCTCAGTCCTGGTTCAGTCCTGTCTCAGTTCTGGCTCAGTCCTGGTTCAGTCCTGTCTCAGTTCTGGCTCAGTCCTGGTTCAGTCCTGGTTCAGCAGCCTGCAGACTTCTCCCCACGCACAGTGAAGCGGACGCCACTGCGGAACCCGCGGATATTAACGCCTGTTATTTCGCTAATGCAGAAAGATGGCGAAGTCTAAATCCATCCATCTCTCTCACCGCGTCCACACCGCGTCCACACCGCGTCCACACCGCATCCCTACCGCGTCCCCAGCCCGTCCAAACATCGTCCCCACCGTGTCCATATCGCGTCTCCACCGCATCCACACCGCGTCTCATCGCCTCACCTGGAGCGCCTACATGCCGCTTTCCACCTCCGACACGCGCCTGCTCCGCGTCGCGTTGACCCGGTCCGGTCCGATTCGGGTTTGCAGTCCCTGTTCCCGGGAGCAGTTCGCCCGGCTGAGCACGGCTGGGTCCGGGTTGGTCCGTGTGGAGGACTCGCGGAGGAGGACTGCTGGAATGCGCGCTGCTGATGCGGAGAGACGCACGGACGCGAGAGACGTCAAGGCGCGCGGAGGAAGTGGCCACGCGAGCGACGCACTGATACAGGAAATGAATGATGTGTCCAATTAGAGCAGGTTCAGCTCTGAAGGCTGCCATTCATGTGTTTTATTATTGTTACTGTCGCTGGATACGTTAAAGCTGAAAGGGACCTAAAGCTGAGGGACCTAAACCTTGTTCTGGCACCAGGTCCGTGTTTGGTCCCTTTAGCTGCTGGAAGTCATGGTTACCAAGGAATATCCATGGATACTGGTTTTTGTGGGTAGGTTGCTAGGACACGGTACCAGATACTGAAGTGTAATGGAAACACAACCAGAGTTTAGCCTCAGTCCTGGGTCTACAGCCTCAGTCCTGGTCTACAGCCTCAGTCCTGGGTCTACAGGTCTACAGTCTCAGTCCTGGGTCTACAGGTCTACAGCCTCAGTCCTGGGTCTACAGGTCTACAGTCTCAGTCCTGGGTCTACAGGTCTACAGTCTCAGTCCTGGGTCTACAGGTCTACAGCCTCAGTCCTGGGTCTACAGATCTACAGCCTCAGTCCTGGGTCTACAGGTCTACAACCTCAGTCCTGGGTCTACAGGTCTACAGTCTCAGTCCTGGGTCTACAGGTCTACAGTCTCAGTCCTGGGTCTACAGGTCTACAGCCTCAGTCCTGGGTCTACAGGTCTACAGTCTCAGTCCTGGGTCTACAGGTCTACAGCCTCAGTCCTGGGTCTACAGGTCTACAGCCTCAGTCCTGGGTTTACAGGTCTACAGTCTCAGTCCTGGGACTACAGGTCTACAGCCTCAGTCCTGGGTCTACAGGTCTACAGCCTCAGTCCTGGGTCTACAGGTCTACAGCCTCAGTCCTGGGTCTACAGGTCTACAGCCTCAGTCCTGGGTCTACAGCCTCAGTCCTGGGTCTATTATTGGTTTCTAATTTAGGGTGATACACACATAAATGTAATTGAAGCAATTTAATAAAGTTTTGTCTTGGAATAGCCTCTACTGTACTTGATAACAATGACATCAGCGCCCTCTGCTGGCGACACTGCAACTGTGCAATCAGGGAGCATTCTACAGCACGTCTTGGGGAAGTCCAGGACTGAAAGAGTAGGGTAGGGTAGGGTAGAGTAGGCAAGGCAAGGCAAGTTTATTTATATAGCACAATTCATACACAAGGCAACTCAAAGTGCTGAACAAGACAAAATAGCATTAAAATCATAAACAATCACAGGACATTAAAAAGATAAAAATATAAAATCCCTCAGTTGTAGCACAGCTAAACAGAACTGTCTTTAACCTGGTTTTAAACATTGTCAGAGAGGAGGCCTGTCTCACATCTTCAGGAAGACTGTTCCAGATTTTAGCTGCATGAATCTGAAAAGCAGCCTCCCCATGTTTAGTTCTGACTCTGGGCACTAACAGGAGTCCAGTCCCTGTGCTCCTCAGAGTCCCAGCAGGAGTCCAGTCCCTGTGCTCCTCAGAGTCCCAGCAGGAGTCCAGTCCCTGTGCTCCTCAGAGTCCCAGCAGGAGTCCAGTCCCTGTGCTCCTCAGAGTCCCAGCAGGAGTCCAGTCCCTGTGCTCCTCAGAGTCCCAGCAGGAGTCCAGTCCCTGTGCTCCCTCAGAGTCCCAGCAGGAGTCCAGTCCCTGTGCTCCTCAGAGTCCCAGCAGGAGGCCAGTCCCTGTGCTCCTCAGAGTCCCAGCAGGAGTCCAGTCCCTGTGCTCCTCAGAGTCCCAGCAGGAGTCCAGTCCCTGTGCTCCTCAGAGTCCCAGCAGGAGTCCAGTCCCTGTGCTCCTCAGAGTCCCAGCAGGAGTCCAGTCCCTGTGCTCCTCAGAGTCCCAGCAGGAGTCTAGTCCCTGTGCTCCCCAGAGTCCCAGCAGGAGTCCAGTCCCTGTGCTCCTCAGAGTCCCAGCAGGAGTCCAGTCCCTGTGCTCCTCAGAGTCCCAGCAGGAGTCCAGTCCCTGTGCTCCTCAGAGTCCCAGCAGGAGTCCAGTCCCTGTGCTCCTCAGAGTCCCAGCAGGAGTCCAGTCCCTGTGCTCCTCAGAGTCCCAGCAGGAGGCCAGTCCCTGTGCTCCTCAGAGTCCCAGCAGGAGGCCAGTCCCTGTGCTCCTCAGAGTCCCAGCAGGAGTCCAGTCCCTGTGCTCCTCAGAGTCCCAGCAGGAGTCCAGTCCCTGTGCTCCCTCAGAGTCCCAGCAGGAGTCCAGTCCCTGTGCTCCTCAGAGTCCCAGCAGGAGTCCAGTCCCTGTGCTCCCTCAGAGTCCCAGCAGGAGTCCAGTCCCTGTGCTCCTCAGAGTCCCAGCAGGAGTCCAGTCCCTGTGCTCCTCAGAGTCCCAGCAGGAGTCCAGTCCCTGTGCTCCCTCAGAGTCCCAGCAGGAGGCCAGTCCCTGTGCTCCTCAGAGTCCCAGCAGGAGTCCAGTCCCTGTGCTCCCTCAGAGTCCCAGCAGGAGTCCAGTCCCTGTGCTCCTCAGAGTCCCAGCAGGAGTCCAGTCCCTGTGCTCCTCAGAGTCCCAGCAGGAGTCCAGTCCCTGTGCTCCCTCAGAGTCCCAGCAGGAGTCCAGTCCCTGTGCTCCTCAGAGTCCCAGCAGGAGGCCAGTCCCTGTGCTCCTCAGAGTCCCAGCAGGAGTCCAGTCCCTGTGCTCCTCAGAGTCCCAGCAGGAGTCCAGTCCCTGTGCTCCTCAGAGTCCCAGCAGGAGTCCAGTCCCTGTGCTCCCTCAGAGTCCCAGCAGGAGTCCAGTCCCTGTGCTCCTCAGAGTCCCAGCAGGAGGCCAGTCCCTGTGCTCCTCAGAGTCCCAGCAGGAGGCCAGTCCCTGTGCTCCTCAGAGTCCCAGCAGGAGTCCAGTCCCTGTGCTCCTCAGAGTCCCAGCAGGAGTCCAGTCCCTGTGCTCCCTCAGAGTCCCAGCAGGAGGCCAGTCCCTGTGCTCCTCAGAGTCCCAGCAGGAGTCCAGTCCCTGTGCTCCTCAGAGTCCCAGCAGGAGTCCAGTCCCTGTGCTCCTCAGAGTCCCAGCAGGAGGCCAGTCCCTGTGCTCCTCAGAGTCCTAGCAGGAGTCCAGTCCCTGTGCTCCTCAGAGTCCCAGCAGGAGTCCAGTCCCTGTGCTCCTCTCAGTCCCAGCAGGAGGCCAGTCCCTGTGCTCCTCAGAGTCCCAGCAGGAGGCCAGTCCCTGTGCTCCTCAGAGCCCAGCAGGAGTCCAGTCCCTGTGCTCCTCAGAGTCCCAGCAGGAGTCCAGTCCCTGTGCTCCTCAGAGTCCCAGCAGGAGTCCGGTCCCTGTGCTCCTCAGAGTCCCAGCAGGAGTCCAGTCCCTGTGCTCCTCAGAGTCCCAGCAGGAGGCCAGTCCCTGTGCTCCTCAGAGTCCCAGCAGGAGTCCAGTCCCTGTGCTCCCTCAGAGTCCCAGCAGGAGTCCAGTCCCTGTGCTCCTCAGAGTCCCAGCAGGAGGCCAGTCCCTGTGCTCCTCAGAGTCCCAGCAGGAGTCCAGTCCCTGTGCTCCTCAGAGTCCCAGCAGGAGTCCAGTCCCTGTGCTCCTCAGAGTCCCAGCAGGAGTCCAGTCCCTGTGCTCCTCAGAGTCCCAGCAGGAGTCCAGTCCCTGTGCTCCTCAGAGTCCGGGCTGGTTCATATGGGACTAACATGTCACTAATATATTTTGGTGCGAGGCCATGGAGAGACTTGTACACAAGCAGAGCTGTTTTAAAGTCTATTCTCTGAGCCACAGGAAGCCAGTGCAGAGACCTGAGGACTGGACTAATGTGGTCGTACTTCCTGGTTCTAGTCAGGACTAATGTGGTCGTACTTCCTGGTTCTAGTCAGGACTAATGTGGTCGTACTTCCTGGTTCTAGTCTGGACTAATGTGGTCGTACTTCCTGGTTCTAGTCAGGACTAATGTGGTCGTACTTCCTGGTTCTAGTCAGGACTAATATGGTCGTACTTCCTGGTTCTAGTCAGGACTAATATGGTCGTACTTCCTGGTTCTAGTCAGGACTAATGTGGTCGTACTTCCTGGTTCTAGTCAGGACTAATGTGGTCGTACTTCCTGGTTCTAGTCAGGACTAATATGGTCGTACTTCCTGGTTCTAGTCAGGACTAATGTGGTCGTACTTCCTGGTTCTAGTCAGGACTAATGTGGTCGTACTTCCTGGTTCTAGTCAGGACTAATATGGTCGTACTTCCTGGTTCTAGTCAGGACTAATATGGTCGTACTTCCTGGTTCTAGTCAGGACTAATGTGGTCGTACTTCCTGGTTCTAGTCAGGACTAATATGGTCGTACTTCCTGGTTCTAGTCAGGACTAATGTGGTCGTACTTCCTGGTTCTAGTCAGGACTAATGTGGTCGTACTTCCTGGTTCTAGTCAGGACTAATGTGGTCGTACTTCCTGGTTCTAGTCAGGACTAATGTGGTCGTACTTCCTGGTTCTAGTCAGGACTAATGTGGTCGTACTTCCTGGTTCTAGTCAGGACTAATGTGGTCGTACTTCCTGGTTCTAGTCAGGACTCGAGCTGCTGCATTTTGAATGTACTGCAGCTGTTTTACAGCCTGTTTGGACAGACCTGTGAGCAGGCCATTGCAGTAGTCTAACCTACTGGAGACAAATGCATGGATAAGAATCTCCAAGTCTGCTTTAGACACTATGTTTTTGATCCTGGCAATGTTTTTTAGATGGTAAAAAGCTGCTGATGTTACTGATTTGATGTGGCTATTAAAATTTAAGTCTGAGTCCAGTATTACCCCTAGATTTCTGACCTTGTTTGAAGGTTTTAGGGAGAGAGACTGTAGGTGACAGATGACGCTCTCTCTTTGTTTCTGGGGACCAAAGACAATCATTTCAGTTTTGTCTGCGTTTAGCTGAAGGAAGTTGTTTTGCATCCACTCACTGATCTGTTGGATACAGTGAAGGAGTGAGTCCACTGGTCCATGTTCTCCTGCAGTCAGTGAGACATAGATCTGAGTGTCGTCTGCATAGTTATGATAGGAAACTTTGTTTCTGCGTATTAACTGACCTAACGGCAGCATGTAGAGATTGAACAGAAGAGGTCCCAGGATCGACCCCTGTGGGACTCCACAGGTCAGGGCCATATGATCTGAGACACAGTTTCCAATCTCCACAAAGTACTTCCTGTCTTCAAGGTA